GTCGAAGCCTGCTGTCCACTCGTATCCACTTCCCACCAAGCCACGAAGCTTCACGTCACTATAGCCATTCTCATCAGCACGGGTCTTCACCGTCATCAAGACAACTCGCCAATGCAATATGAGTAGAGCAAAACAGGATCAATCTCGTAAGCATAGAAATGACATGATTATGATGATCAGTCCCAATAGTTCTAAGACCAATGCTTGACCGTAAGTCATACACAAGAAGAGCCCAGGGACGGCAACAGTCATCCGAACCCTACGTCCTAATTCTGAAGGTTGGAGCCCCCCTACCTGATCGTCACCGAGTTTCTTGCAGGCACGGTTGGCTCGCATGAGGTACTCGTAAAGCATCTTGTTAGGTATCTGGGATATATAGATTCGGGAAAGGACAGACGGAGTTCAACACTGGCACATGTATTTAGTGCCTGGTAATGGGCCTGGCGTTTGTACAGCTTGGGTTGGGTCACATCGGTTTGAGGTCAGATTGTGGCAGAATTGCCATTCTTGCGTCTATTCTCGCCATATTGGCAGCAATTCAACTTGCAAGTACTTAGTTGAAGCTGCATGTTCTATACTCAACCTGCTATAGCTGTCTCTGATTGGGGATTTAATCCAAGGTCATGCCGAAGATTTGAAGTCAGGAATAGTTCAGCATATCGGACAGCTTCGCAACTTTGTCTAGAGTCTGTATTCTTTGTATGGCTGGCAGACAGTATGTGTTGTTTTTTACCTCTAAGGAATTGTGGCACGTCAGGGATCAGATAATGGGTGGAAAGCTTGAAGTCCTAGTCAGCATGCGACTGCAGGCATAGCTGTCAAGCAATTTCTATCGAAGGCCAAGAGCAGCATTTTAGTGGGTACTATACCAGGTGGGGTCAAGCTTGAGCAGCGTTACCCCTCACCGTCCTGAAACTTCATTCCAGGTTTTCAGGCCCAGCCTTCCTGGTGCAGATCACGAGTAGTTGAGAGACATGGTCTATTGCTCCGCACGTTGAATCTGGCATGGTGGGTCGTCTCTTCATTCCTCAAATCAATGATGGCATTCTTATGAATTCCGTGGAGCGATGCTCCGACATGTTCCTTAAACTATATTGTGGCGAGATGTCTCTGGATTATTTCAGGAGTGTTGGGTGGCTGAGGGGCATTCTGGGTGTCTCAGGGTTTGGCCGATGTTATGAGGTGGCAGCCTGTTCGACCTGCTTTACAACAGCTCCTCGGCAAAGTGCAAGATTTTTGCTTGGTGAGGCGGCTAAACACCCCATAAGATTACCCATTGCTGTCTGGATGATTACAGAACAACCACCATATCACAAGCCTAAACCCTAAACCGTAAATGAATTTGCAGTTAGTCACGGGGACCATGGGCGCACTTTGTCCTTCTTCAAACTACACGAGACATGCCTGAACTGCAAAATACGAAAGCCCATAAGATGCCAAAGCTTTGAAGCTCCTATAGGGGTATTTTTTTGGGATACATAGGGATAATGGAAAAGAACATGGAAACTACTATCTTATAGGGCTGGTAAAATTGGGTCGTTTCCCGGAACTATCCACAGAATTTTGTTTGAACGAGTTTCCAGAGCATTATGGTCAAATTATGGTAGCATACACCGCCGCCCTTGCGTTGCAAAGGCAGACAAGAACTGTCACTGTGGCAACAGGTGAAGGCCAGCGGGCCAATTCCATTTGGAGGAGTGATTTGGTACCTAGACTAAGTAGGTTAACCATATAGTCCCCCTTAAGTAGATAGAATATGGGGTATATGGGGATCGTACTATAATTTACCCAAAGCCATATTCTATCTGCTTAAGGGGGGCCATAGTCCCAATAACAGGGGCCATGTACCTAATAGTCAGGAAGTCCCCTAGCCACATTGAAGCAAACATGGGCACAGGCACCTGATAGCAAAGGCCTGGGTACTTGTTCTGTCACAGACCTAACCAAGTTCTGGGGATCAATCCAAATTACCTGATCCAATTGTGGTTCTATGGACCCTAAACCCTAAACCCTACTTGAGGCTACAAGCACAATCAACTCCATCCTTGAAGCCGCAGAGCAATTTCTGCCAACTCTGTAGAGGCACATGTGTCTGCTGGCAGCAATCTTGGCCTCCTGCATCGTTAGGCACCCCCAAAACAATTCAGTGCTAAACCCAAAACCCTCTATTGTCCTCACGAACAATTCCGGAACCCATCACCACAACAACGAACGAGTGGCGTGCCAGATACTGCTGGATGTGGCGTCTGGCATGAAGTGCGCCAAGCCTGCGACCTTGATACTAAACACCTGGGTTTCTGAGAAGCACTTTGGCAGGCACGGGCCATAAAATCTCCTCTATACTTCTTCTTCTGTGGCCTCTGAGTAGAGGATCTGAAAGGGTCGCGCAGAGAATGAAGGCTTAGGCTGATTTCTATCCAGCATCATGAAGCTAAGTTACCTGAGGCATTCAGGCCTGGTCACCGTTGAAGCAGTACCAGATTCTGCCTGAAAGCCCGGAACACACCATGCTAGCTCCGAAGCTCACACGCTGATATCGCGGGCAGCTAATAGGAAACTTGGCGCAGATTTGGGCACAAGCCCAAGCTTGCAAAGATTCGGTCGGTTTCATGTCAAGTTGACATTGGCAGCAAGATCTGGACCTGCAACATGGATTGCCACTGTCACCACCCATTGCATGCACGCCACAACTCGTTGCGACAGCCCGAACAAGTTGCCAGCACTTCTGGAACGGGGAACCATTGAAATCAATGCGATATTTGGCGTGTGCAAATGGCGCTAGCTACTCCGTCGCATGCATCCTTTGAAACTTATCTCACATGTAATCAGCGGTGTCGACATGGAAAGCTGCCAGGATATCCACACTTAGGCAGGGGACTTGGCCCCTTTCCCTCCATGTCGCCATGGCGCATGCGCTTGGCAAGTGGAGCCTAGAGGTTCTGCACAGTGGCCGGGCACTGCAGCTTGCCTAGCAGTCAGGCAACAGGGCTTAAGCGGGGTGACGCAGGGGAATGTGACGCAGGGGAATGCAAGGATTGTATGTTGAGCGTGCCCTCATTTTGTGTCATTCTTGTCCACATGGAATATTGAATCATTGCATATCATTGCTATCTTCCAACAGAGGGCCTACTAGCATTCAATGGGAGCTGGAATCTTGAAACAAACGTGTGCACATTGCTTGGCGCTGCAAGACAGGCTGGCCAAGGGTTGTTTGCCTGAAGTTGCGCCTGTGCATGTTTGGGAACAGCAAGAGCCAAGATCTTCATCCAGAAAAGGCAAGACTCACAGAGAATTCACGCAGGCTCTCAGGGAATCTGTTTTGATGATTCGTATTTGTTGTTGTATTTGTGTTTGTATTTGTGTTTACATTTGTATCTGTATTTGTTGCTGTATTTGTTGTATTGGTTGTATTCTTACTATTTGCATTATTATTATTACTATTATTTTTGTTGTTGTTGTTGTTGTTGTTGTTAGTAGTAGTAGTAGTAGTAGTAGTAGTAGTAGTAGTAATAGTTCTAGTTTAGTTTAGCTACGCTGATCAACTCACCCCGCCTGTGGAGGCCCTAGTTTAATTACCCTGATCTACT